GGACAGGCATTAACGGTACATTAACGGTGTGTAGAAGATTTGACGGAAGTTAATTTTCCGTCCAATTGGGACCTTATTTGAGAATTTTGTGGAGTTCGGAACCTTAATTGAGTGCAATTGAAGTTCGGGTTCAAAATTGCGAATTTTGTGTAAGTTCGGGTCCTTATATCATATTTTTGCCTTAAAAGAATTATTTAAATAATATTTTATTACTAAATTTTGCTATTTAATATTTATTTTAAAAATATATATATACGGACCGATATGATTCGGTCTGTATATGGTCAGTCTGAATTAACCTTTTTTTAGTAGTGTCCAATGTGTTGATTTGTGATTCCATAAGAGTCTGGACATTGTGGATAGTGAGAAGCTAAAGAGGATTCCTCTGTATCTTTCCTTGCTTGACAATGGCTACGCTCCTTCCCTCAAACAAATTCACGTAGACACAAAAGGATGTTGGTAATCATTGGAATGGGACTGCTGTTCAAAAAAAAAAAAAAATCATTGGAATGGGACTAACCCAATGCAAAGGCTGTCCTTCCATCTTCTGTAAATTTCCATAGGATAGGCTAAGAAGCAAAAGAGTGCAGGCTCTACTACGAGAAAATGGACATTTTGTGACAGAGAATTGATTATAAAAATTTATATTTTTAATCACAAATTAAATTTGTATTTAAAATTTAATTTTTCGTGACTAATTATATCGTCACACAATGCCTTGTAGTATCTTTTAGGCAAGGCAAATGTAAGCCTTTTAACCTCAAAATTTCACATCTGATTTTTTATTCTGATTCAACTCAGTAGAAGTTTTTATATTTTACGCTTTCCTTCTTCCTTTCTATCTCAACAAATCTCTCTCTCTCTCACTCCTGTCTTTTCTTTTCAATATCTATTGTTTCTTCTCCCCATCGGCAGCAAAGTCGGAGTTGGACTTTGTTATCACAAGAAAGCCGAAGGAAATCACATTTGCTTGCACCTGTTGTCGTTGTTGGCTTTTCAATTTAATATACAAACTTGCTTCTTCTTTTTGTGTGTTATGCTTTTAAATATATCAAATTTTAAGGGGAAATGTTTGTTTCTTTGTTTGTGTAATTTTATATTTCAATCCTACGTAGAAGGTTCCGTCTTATTTCCTATGTGAGAGTATCTATTTGATTTTATTTTTTTAATTAATTTTTTGATATTCGATAATTATATTAGATTTTAATTAATTTAAGATAAAATAACGTTAAATTTTATTAAAAAAAATTTCAATATTTTATTTATCTATAAAATTTAAATTCAAAATTTTATTTTAAAAAATTAAATTATTCTCACTTGAATTAACAAATCATATCAGTGACTGTCTATTTTATTTGCAATGGTATTTCTTACTCCGCGTCCGCATCCGCATCCGCATCCGCATCCGCATCCGTATCCGTATTTTGGTTAAATTGTGAGATATTATATGAATTTGTTTTACGGTATACTAGTGGTGGTCATAATACGACTGTTGGAGCTGTGGTGTCAAACCTGCAACAGTTGGCAGCAAATGGGTTGAAGTGACAGCCACGTGGAATTGCAAAAAAAAAAAGACAGCAAATATTTTAAATGTAATCTTGATAGATTTTATTACACTAGATAGAAGTTAGTGTAGTAGGCAGAAATTTTTGTTTATTTATCATGAGATTTCTGTTATTTAATGGTAATGAGTATCAACTCATAATATAATTAATTTTAATATAAAAAGAAAAAAAAATAGGATTTGGTTATAAAAAGAAAAAAAATATTATGTTATTATGAAGATTAATTAAAT